CCCCCCCGCCGAGGCGGCCGCCCCCAGCCCCCCGCTGCTCGACGCGTTCGCGGCCACCGCCAGGGTGCCGCCCGCGCTGCAGGCCGTGAGGGTGGCGTCAAGCGAGGGGCGCTGGTCCGGCATGGCGGCGGTCTGGGAGGGGCGCGCGGGGGAGGGGGCCGAGGGGGCGGAGGGGGCGGATGGGGAGGGGGCGGAGTTTCGGCATGCGGCGGTCGAGCTGCCGGTGGCGTGCGCGTACTACCTGGGGAAGGTGCGGGGAAGCTGGCCGGGGTTCGAATTGAGGGCGGCGACAGACGGGACGCGAGGGGGCGCAGCTGGGTTGGCGCGTGCCAGCTTCTGCCTGCTGAAGCGACGCCTCCAGCCTTGAAAACCCTCGTCGGCCTGCATTGCATTGCATTTGAGGTTTTGGTTGAAACCCTAAACCCTAAACCTTTAGGGAGCTCCTTCAGTGGCGCAAGGCCTCCTGCTTGCAGGCAGCGGCCGCGCCGCACTCTGTGACAGCAGCTCAAGGGGGCGCGTGCGCGCGCTGATTGCAGTGCATGGATTCGGACCATTGTCACCAGGTCGTGAGCCTGACAAGTTGTCCAGCTTCTGATGCATGCCCGTATGCGAATCGCAGGTCCTGGCGCACGTCGGTGCGGGGTCGTGGCTGCAGCTGTCTGACACGTTCTTCGCCCTCGCCTCCCTGGAGGGCAGCGACGAGGTGCGGCCGGCGGCGGCAATAGGTACTCCTTTTTGGGGTGCGGCCCGCGGTGGCAATAGGGACTCCTTGTTGGGGTGCGGCCCGTGGCGACACTGTGGGGCTTCTTTCTGGGGTGCGGCCGGCGCTGGCACGAGAGGCGCCGTTTTGGGCGGTGTGGGGAGGTGCCTTTTTGGTTTACGTGGCGCTGGCGGATCGTTTCTGGGCGGCGTCCGATCGGCCCCCCATTCACCGCCACATTCCTCCACCCCCGTCCCGCCGACCGCCTCAGGCCCTGAACTGCCTGGTGAGCAGCTTCCCGGCAGTCGCCGCGGTGGCTGCGGAGGCTCTGGGGGAGGAGGTGGCGCAGGAGGAGCTCAGCCCTGCAATAGTGAAGCTGCTGCGCACACAGCTGGTGGGTACTTGGGTGGCTTTTGCCGTGGGCGGCATCAAAACGGGTTGGTTGGCGGAGGTGTGCAATTCGTGCGGAAAACGGACGGCCCGCGACCCATGTGTCGCGCGTGCCGCCTGAGTACCCATCAGGGGTGTCTTGCGCTTGGGCTTGTTTTTGCGGCGCGGCACAATGGGCCACGGCGAGGGCGCGCCGGTGTGCGGTGTGGGCTGCTGAAATCTGCGTGCTCAGCTGCTGGGTCGGGGTTGAGGGGTTTAGGGTTTAGGGCTGACGGAACGGCGTGCCCAGCTGTCGGGTCGCCCTGCCTGAGCTTTTCTAGCTTGAAGCAGGGGCGGCGCCTCGGCACGGATGGATCGCCTCGTTTGCGGTCATGGCGGCTGCAGGGCGTCGACAAGCAGCTTCCGTGCAGCTTCAGGGGTCGCCCAGCGTGCTAGAGGGCGGCCCTGCGGCCCCCTTGACCTGCCAAGGCGTTGCAGCTGCGACACATCGCGCCCCAACCCCACCCCACCTAGTACCCCCTGGAATGGGCCCATCCAACGTCCTGGGTGTTGCGCCCCCTCACCCTCACCGCACCCCAACCAACCACCCCCATACACCTCTTTCAATGTCACACATAATCCTCGCGTCCGCACACCACCCGCCCACCCCACACTGTGATGACCCCTTTCCCCCCGCGGCGGCCCCCCCGAAAAGTCACATCACAATAAACACAACTGCACGAGGAAACGCTGATGATCACCCCGCCTTTC